AAGAAAAACCTCTTCGTCGATGTGGGCTCCCGCGAAGTATGTCGTGCCCAAAAGTCCTAGGCACCCATTTGGAAACCCATCTGTCTAGTTCTTCTCAATCCCGAATAATTCCAAACACCTGCTTTTTACTGAAAAAACTATTGCAATAATTCGAGGTTTGCTTATAACCCAACGAACATCAATACGTAAGATTTCTGGCGGGAGAACTATGCAACCACGCACACAGTTGTCGTTTTAGGCAATGGTTTCATAATATAATGATTACCAATGAAACCGGACAGACAAGTATTACTCCATTTTCCCGCAATCAATGTCGCTGGGAAGATCATCCCGAAAGACAGCTTGCAATTCGGTCAAAGTATGTTTTTAATCGTGTAAAACAAGGAAATATTATGTACAGATGTATGATGACAATATGGGAAAATAATAAACAAGAAATACCACGATAATACCGTGACACACTGTTCGGTTCAATATCAAACGTTATCCGTCTCATTAGCCGTATAATAAGGTCATTCACTCATTTTTCACCCGGTGCATAGAGAAATCAACTCATGTAGACTGTTAAGACTCAAGGGCAAGAGAACCATGAATTTTTCACCTAATATTTTGCTTGCATGATTCCGTCGTTCTCTCATCTGCCGATTTTTCTTGGCTTATTTTGCTCCTCATTTGCTCATAGCTTCCCACCGGAGTTGTCATCTCGTTTGCTCAAGCTGTTGACGCATCCTACCTGTGTGTCGGAACGTGGATCACAGTACATTACCTATGCCCTGGCATTCCTCATTGGACTTCGCTCTAGTCTCTCATGGTAGGTGGAGTTTTGGTACTGTGGTTTCCTGTGTGGGCTCATTTCAAGTTCTATTTTATTCTGGTCATAATTTGTATATTTATGCATCTGGAATTAACTGCCGCAAGTAGCGATCGCCTGCGATTTTTCGCGCGGATTCGTATGTCACTCAATAACACGGATAATGCCCCGCGATCATTTGCTTTACAGCTTGGAAGCCCAACTATTTCATGTCGAATTACACGGTGCTAGCTCAGGTCTTCAGCTGACCAACCCGATGTGGTTGCGCTATTCAGGACATGGCGTTGGGGGCGAGGGTTTGTCGCGTCCGATTGAAGGCGGGTCTACACAGTACGTGACGGAACCACTGTTAGCGTCGTCGTCAGCTCAAGGGTGGGTAGTTTCTCTGTGCTCCAGGAGAGCCGCTGGAACTTGTTGTTGGAGATACAGCTCCACCATTTCATTCTTGCGATTTATCGGGGGCACCGGTAGTTGAATGCCTCTAATTCTTTTAGGTCTTTAACTCAAAGTGGCTAGGTTTCGCAGTTAGACGATGGTGAATGATTTCTGCCTCCATAGTTCGTTTGAACTGCAGATGCATATATGCAAACTTCTTAACTGTTCCCATTTCCTTTAGCCGTTCCTCGTGTTCTAGTATTGTATTATCGATTGTGTGCAAAAAAACTACGTTAGAACTGGTGTCCACCGTGTCTGTTTTTTTTTTTCACTCTATGAACCAAATAACGGATTTGACTTTATTCATTGAGGAGGGACAAAAGTATTTGAATGAATACCGTCCATTCCACGTTTCTTTCTCATGCACCGGTGACTGGATAGAGCCATTGCTGTGCCGTCTTATGAATACGTCCAGAAACGCTAGACTGTTGTTCATTTCTAATGATATGATTACGAATGATTGAAAACGAACTTGTTCACCACAATGTTCTCAAATATTTCGATTAATTTCTTACGATCAGTACTAGTGGACGATTGCGAACACCACTCTTGGTTAAATCAACGCCTAACCTAGCGGAGCTTTATATGTTTCGCCACTCAGTCTTGGAGATTAGGTTGCCGGTTTCCATTGGTGAACAGCAGGTTTTCGCAACTGTTGAGTTTACCCCATCTTCTGTTCATCACTCAAGGGTGTGTGATAAAAAAAAACAACGTGGTGAAAAATAGATGAAAAAACTATGGTTTATTCATTCACACATCCTGTTCTAGCATTTTACCGTTGTAATTTTCAGTGTTGGTTGGCATCTGCCCACTGTGCATGATCTCATTTCTCCTGCTTCAGAGCATTTGATTCACACACATACAAACACGAAATGAAGACGACTACAGCTGCCTTGAACATGGCTTCACTTTGATTGATTGAACCGATCTAAATTCATCGGGATTTTACTGAACGAAAACAACCCCAACAGATAAAAATAGATCGACCAGGTGTAACCGGCTAGGAAATTCTCCATGTCAGTCAGCTGTTCTGTGAATAGCCATGATCTCGCTTCACCATTTGGTGGTCAACAGAATTTCTTTCACTGGTGGATTCCGATCCCATACTAACCTTGATTTCGACTGGGTTACACGTTCTACTTAGCAACGCATCGATCTTCGTGATTCACCAAGCAAATTAATTCAATCAGAATAGGACGCAATTTTTTTCATTATACAAAGTGGATTACAGTAAACGGGGAGATCCCCATTAGCAAATAGCATACTGTAAAGGGGAGAGTAAAGGGAACATTCACGTAAGATCAAATTTATTGATTCTGCTTTTAAAACGTGTGAGATTGTAAGTTGGGGGAAAAACAACAAGGGGGAAGGTGGCAGTTCTGGGAAAAAAGAAGATTGGAGTAGAGAGGTACGACATATGGGAATAGAAATCTGATAAGGATGACTAGATGCCTGTGTACGAGATGTACGGGTAAAAGTTGCAGGAAGAGCAACTGTCGGGGCAAGTTCCGAAGAACAAAAACCAAAGTAGAGGGACAATGAAGTAACTACCCGACGATGGGCTAGCGACTGTAAACTGGATGTTAGGGAAGGATCGTCGATTAGCCGGATGGCCTTTCGTTAAACACAATCAAGAAAGGAAAGGGAAGAAGACGAAGCCCCACCCCACACGTGACTATAGTATTCAAGAGCAGGGCGGATTTGAGCTTTGTACAATAGAAGAAGATGAGCTGGGGTGAAAAAACGTCTGGCGCGAAATAGAAATTCAACCTTGTGCGCAGCATGAGAAGCGAGCTTGGTTATAAAAGGGGAACAGCGTAATAAAGAAGTAATAGGCAGTTCAAGATGGAAAACAGAGTCTGTGGAACGCAGTTGGGTGTAAGCAAATGATAACTGGGGGAGAACAAATGGTGTTTTAAAGAAATTGAAAAAAAAAGTGTTTAGGAAATATTGAACGAAACGTGGTTTGCAATGTTCCACGAGGAGATGTGTTCGAGATCAGAGTCCAGTGACACAGTAACTGCACTACGGTCACCATCGATGTTGATTTGGGCATGGTGAGCAGTGCGGTAGGAGAGAGAGAGAGAGAGAGAGAGAGAGAGAGAGAGAGAGCAGTGGAAGATGGCGTCACCGGCAAAAGAATGGATCGGGTTAGCAGTTTGGGAAAGAAGATCAGTGATGAATAGAAGGAAGAGGGTGGTCGCAAGTACTGAACCTTGGGGAACACCAGTGTTCACAGGGAATGGCTGGGATAGGACCCCATCAGCTCGGACGGAGATGGTTCGCTTACTGAGGAAACTTGATATCCACGCTACGAGCGCTGGAATAGATATATGTCTGAGTAATGGGAATATTACTAGTCTCGGTGGGTCTCGTACACACACACACGCATGGTTCACCGAGGGATGCGCACATCTGTTTTGAACCAACAAACAAGTGCGCAATCATAGCGTTGAGCATACTCAAAACAATACACAGTTTTCTCTTTGTGCAACCATGAATTCATATCATCTACTCAAAGTATACGCCAATGTTCACACCGTTATTAGCCGAACACCCAAGCCGTTTTCTCTTAGTTGTGTATTCTTTAAACCGATTGAAATAAGGTTATAAAGTTATCATAAAGGTTACGTATAAAGAAGACGAATGAGAAAATCAAGAACACGCATAACCCCACCACAATTCATCGTACTTATTCCCATCAATCAATTTTTCCGACCGTATGTAGGATGTGGACCTCGACCGCTCATTCGAAAGTGAATCACGTTTGTTGACCCTGTCTTCATTCCGTCTGTCAAATCTAAGCTTATTTTTTTCTGTCCGTCATCTACTCATCACAGTTAGCAGAAAACAGGATAAAGATAGATTGTCGCTGTTTGAACACCTATGTCTACTCAGCATTGCACGAATCTGGTGGGGCAGCCGGACGAGCAATTCTGAGGTTAGAAGCAGAGTTTTAGGTATTCGCGTTCGCCCACTAGAGAAAATAGTCGACCTCCGTGAATCACGGT